GCAGCCAGGAAATAAAAAAACGTATTGCAATGGAAAAGTCTGCTGTTAGGGACCTCTCTAAAGTTGATCTCTAGAGCAACGGTGTGTCTCTGGAGACTAAGGTGCATCTGATACAGGCCATGGTCTTTGCAATCACTTGTTATGCATCAGAGAGTTGGACAATGACTAAGGAGGATAGAAGGAGAATTGATGCCTTTGAGCTGTGGTGCTGGAGAAGAGTATTGACTACCATGGACTGCCAAGAAAACAGATTCACCCTGGAGAGAGTTAAACCGGGTGGCTCCTTGGAGGCAAGGATTCTGGGGCTTCGTCCGACATACTTTGGGCATGTGGCAAGGAGGGACAGGTCCTTGGAGAGAGACGTCATGCTTGGGAGGGTGGAGGGACAGCACAGGAGGGGAAGGCCCTCTATGAGGTGGATTGATTCAGTGACTGGGGTAATCGGGATGCATGTATCGGACACAGTGAGATTGGCACAGGATAGAGCAGAATTTAGGGCTGTTGTACACAGGGTCGCTAAGAGTCGGAAGTGACTGGATGGCACAGAACAACAACAACAACAATCTCTTCAAGGAACTGCTGCTGGCCTAGATCTTTTTATTATTGTTGTTGTTGCTGGCCTAGATTTTATTACTGTTATTGCTGTTATTGTTGTTGGTATTATTATTATTTCAGGTCCTTAATGTATGAGCTTATTGCTCTCGAGTTGGAACCAACTCATAGCTGATCTTCCAGCAGGTTTTCAGAGGCTGTAAATCGCACAGGAAGCGACTGCCCATCTTTCTTTCCTGCAGAGCAGCTGGTGGATTCGAACCATGTGCCTTTGGGATGGCAGCGCCACTCTTTACCCACTAGGCTGTCAGAGCTCCCTAAGTGAATGTGCAATGACCGTGGGTTTTCTAATCTTTGATTGCTTTTCTGATTAGTAGAATAAACATTTGCTACCGTCAGTAGATTATTAGTACAAAGCACGTTAATAGATTGTGTGTGTGAGTGCTCAGATCTATTGATCTTGTGTCCAGCGTTTGGTGTCAGATGTTCTTCCTGGTGTATCTCAGTCAACATCTCCCTCATGCTGTATCTCTTTCTTAACTTCCAGATTCTTTGGGCTCTTGTCTCAAGCTCAAGGTCTGGGCTCAGCCTCAGGGTCAAGGTGCTCGCTTACTTATTTTACCCAGAGCACCGTTTCTCAGTCCCTGTGATAACAGACTTCACCTCTGCAAAGCAGGACGAGATACAGATCTTTTTAAGATGCTCATGGTTAATATACTGTTCATGTGAGTTAATCCATGTCACGTCTCTGGAATAACAGTTGAGGCATGATAAGCCATTACTCACTGTCATCGTTGAATGAATCGTGGCAGCGACCCCCCCGTCAGGTTTCTGAGGCTGTAAGCGTTTAGGGGAGGGGACTGTTTTATTTCTGAAGAACAGGAGGCAGATTCAGACCGTGGAGATTTTAGTCTGTGCTGCTCCCTTTTGCACGACCCCATGAGGGCCCTTCAGAGCATTGGTTCTGCTTTTTGCCTCCTCCTCATGACCTTTCTCCGGAGCCACAGAAGACTTTGCTGTCCTTGAACGTACCACCCTTGCTTTCTCACCTTCTCAGAATGACCCCCTCGGTGTGCATCACAGCGTCCAGCTCCTCTGCAGAGGCTGCTCTGTGGGGATTCTTCTCACCTGCCTATTCATTCCCGTTCTTGTCCACACAAAAATGCCAGCCCCGGGGTTTAAGGGACTTCTAAGCTTCTGGTGGAAAAGTGTAATAAAAGCAAATAGAGGCAGCTGCTGTTGGCTGCTTCAGGGTGAGCCCTGCGTTGGAATGGGTGACTCCATGACCAGTGGAAGGACACTCTAGTGGACGGACCATTGTGATTTCAGGGCTTTTGCTGCCTGATCCTTGACAGGTACTCTGCCAAGCGTTTCGTCCTGAAACAAAATCAAGGGTGTATCACTTGCTCAGCATAATTGTAGGTGGAGCTTGTAGAACTTTCATGTCAACGGAATTGATTCTTAGACTGACCTCTCTTTCGTTTTACATGGAAAAAAATTTTCTGTGGCCTCCCTATGTCCACAGGTTAAGACATGTCTTTCCTTATAGGACCTGTTGACGTTCAAGGATGTGGCCGTAGCATTCTCTCCGGAGGAGTGGGCCTGCCTGGGTCCTGGCCAGCGGGCTCTGTACTGGGACGTGATGCTGGAGAACTACAGCAACCTCGTCTCCCTCGGTGAGCTAACCTTCCCCCCCAGAAGTTTCCATCTGCCCGGTGTGTCCCCGCGTTCTCCCTTGGAGGCTCTTGCCCACTTAGACAGACGATGAAATCTCTGTTGTTAAGATAATACTGAATTTGATGCAGAGGTTGAGAAGCTGCGTAATGTAGCAGCTGGTCCTCATGCCTTCCCCTTTCTTCACATCCACACACAGTTCACACTCGGTAGTCTTGATTCCAGAGCTTGTGTGGTGGACACAGGGCCACGTGGGTACATTTTAATACCTGCAGGTCTCCTGTGCCATTGAGTCGGAGGTTCCCGGAAAAGAGCTAGCTAGAGCTCCGCATATTTATAACATTCTCTGAGCGTTCTGGAGGGAGCTGTCCGTGCAGACGTTTAAAAAAAAAACCAAAGACTATTTCCGTGGAGCCTCGTAATGCTCTTGGACTGGGATCTAGAGAGGTTTCAGTGCCTCATGCGCTTTGTTTGTCTGTTTCGAGCAGAAGTCTCTCTCTCCGAGATGAATATCATCTCCATCCTGAAGCAGGGGACAGGACCCTGGAACATGGACAAGACGAATGTGGAAAATGACCCAGGTAGGTGGGCAGGCGTCCACCAGAGAGCACAGGTAGTGGCGGCAGATGGTTGGGGAAGAAGCGACACCACTGAATGTTCCTTGGGAAACTCTCCCCCGATGGGAACACGCAAGTGGCTTTCTTGTGAACTCGCACGGGAGAGTTCTTCCCTCGCCTCCCTACCGCTGCTGTTAACCAGCCTCTTCAGATGTGTGGATGTTCACCCTCCTGTCAACCCAGTGACAGCCCAGGTCGTCAGAGACACAGGCAGCTCCCCACCCTCTGGTCCCCATAAGCTCTTCAGAGCTGTGGGTTTAAGAGTGGTGGGGTTCTAGGTCTCCTTGCGCCCATAGCTTCTCCTTCTGGGCTTGATTCCGCCCACGGCTCAGGTCGTAGTTCAGCCAGGTCAGAGCTTAGACCCCAGGACAGACCACATGGCCTTCTCCATCCGTGTACTTGCGAGACCCTCTCATCGGGTGAGACAGCATCGGCCGTTTTCCCATTGTCTGTGGCACCCCAGCCAACTGCATGACGCTCAGTCAAGCCTTGTCTGTCTGTCGGCCTCAGCTGCATCTTCAGTTCTGCTTGTCCTGATGCCAAGGGTGTATATACTAGGTATGGACTCCCTTTGCCTGGCCTTTTTCGGGGCAGACCAACTCCTGCTGCTGACGTGGTAAAGATTCAGACCCTCAGACCATTTCATTGTGCTCACGCGAAACACGCCCCTAGACCGAGAAGCCGTAGTGCCGGCAGGACAGAGCGGCGCTGCGTGGTTGCCTCCAGCAACGTGCCGATGGGTCTGCTGGGCTTTGGTCTTGGCTGGCCGCGATAGCTTGGTTTTGTTTGGTGGTTTTTTGGGGTTTTTTTCCCCTCCCTTGGTTTCTGTTTAAGTAACTTGAATTATGTCTTTTTCTCTCTGCTTCATAAGGAGTCCTGTTAACTTTGTGTCGTAAACATTTGAAAGTGGTGATGAAGTTTGACAACTCTGCATGGTTGTTTTTTGGTGCCGTCGAGTCGTAGATGACTCATAGAGACCCTATGAACGAACGGCCTGAGCACTGTTCGTACATAGAGTTTCCGGAGGCAAGCCATTTTGGAAGTGGATGCCGCTCCTGCTTCCAGGCTTGATTTAGTCGGGAAGCTCCAGCCAACACTGTCCACCATGGGTGCCCATTACCACGATTGGCACATCACTGTCACAGTCTTCAGCATCACAGCAACCACGAGTTACCTCTGTACAGCAACGCACAGACCAGTGCTGTACCACCTAGAAGAACGTTTGACAGGAAAACAATTTGAACCTGCATTATAAACGTTATTTTTGAGATGATTAGGGTCTTTTTTAAATAGAAGTGCTTTTTCTAACAGTAGCTAATGGACACGGGTTCTTTGTATCTTCTAGGTGACCCCACTCCGCACATGTCTGAGGAATCCCCCCCAAAAGAGGTCGCTGACAAAGGGGCATTGTCAGACAGGCGTGACTGTCGTGGCGCTGGGGACTGCGACTCGGGACCAGACAGGGACACTGCCCCAGAGCTTCGGCGGGGAGAGGATGACCGGGCCTTGGCCGTGGCCCGGGATGAGGGGCTCACGCTCGACGGAGCTGAAGGAGGCGAACGCCGAGCAGACCTTGAAAATAAGCTTGGACTCAGCTGCGCGTCCCCTGCCCCTGGGCTCCAACACCGGTTCCGGGTCGGGGAGAAGACCTACGTCTGTAAGGAGGATGACCGGGCCTTGGCCGTGGCCCGGGATAAGGGGCTCACGCTCGATGGAGCTGAAGGAGGCGAACGCCGAGCAGACCTTGAAAATAAGCTTGGACTCGGCTGCGCGTCCCCTGCCCCTGGGCTCCAACACCGGTTCCGGGTCGGGGAGAAGACCTACGTCTGTAAGCAGGTGGACAGCTCCCCCAGCAGCCTTCCCTCCGCCTCGCTCTTCGAACGCAGCGTCAGAACCAACCTCTTCAACGGCTTTGGGGAGGTCTTTATGCATCCGTCGTTCCTCCCCGAACCGAAGGCGACCGTGGCCGGACAACTGTACGGTGGCTACAACGAGTGCGCGGTGGATTTCAGCCAGAGGTCAGTGTTCAGCAGCCTGCAGGCAATTCCTTCTGTGCAGAAACTCTACGGAGGCGACAAGCGCGGCCCGGCCTGCGGGTACGGGGCCAAGGCGGCCCCCACGGTGGAGACCCCGTACAAGTGCGAGGTGTGCGGCAAGTTCTTCCGGCAGAACTCGAACCTGGCCAACCACCTGCGGATCCACACGGGGGAGAAGCCGTACACGTGCAGCGACTGCGGCAAGGCCTTTCGCTGGCGCTCGGTCCTCACCAAGCACCAGCGCATCCACACGGGCGAGAAGCCCTACAAGTGCGCCGTGTGCGACAAGGCCTTCATCCAGAGGGCCAACCTGGTGAAGCACCACCGTATCCACACCGGCGAGAAGCCCTACAAGTGCGGCGAGTGCGGCAAGGCCTTCATCAACAACTCGAGCCTCGTGGAGCACCAGCGCATACACACCGGCGAGAAGCCCTACAAGTGCGGCGACTGCGGCAAGGCCTTCAAGTGGGGCTCCAACCTCACCAGCCACCAGCGGACGCACAACGGGGAGAAGCTGTTCAAGTGCAACGTGTGCGGCAAGTACTTCACGCAGAACTCCAGCCTCATCACCCACTACCGCATCCACACGGGCGAGAAGCCCTACGAGTGCACGTACTGCGGCAAGGCCTTCATCCACAACTCGAGCCTGGTGGAGCACCAGCGCATCCACACCGGCGAGAAGCCCTACAAGTGCAGCCAATGCAGCAAGACCTTCAAGTGGGGCTCGGTGTTCGCCAAGCACCAGCGCATCCACACCGGCGAGAAGCCCTATCAGTGCGACGTGTGCCGCAAGCTCTTCACGCAGAGCTCCAGCCTCACGACCCACTACAGGATCCACACCGGCGAGAAGCCTTACGAGTGCAACGAGTGCGGCCAGGCCTTCATCCACAGCTCCAGCCTCGTGTACCACCAGAAAAGTCACTTCGGAGAGAAAAGTTACAAGCGCACCCGGTGCACACAGACGTTCCCCCAAAACGCAAGCTTCCTGGAGCCTCAAAGTGTCCCTCCCGCAGAGGGACCCTACAGATGTGACGGGTGTGGGAAGGAGTTCCTGCATTCATACCAGTTAGCGCACGAGAGGACACCCACCGGGGAGAAGAGATACAAATGCAATGAGTGTTGGAAGGCCTTCGACGTGGCCCACCTGCCGCTGGACATCCCGGAATCCATGCTGGAGCGAGATTACGTCGAGGCAAAGTATGTGGCGGGGTCCCTGGGAGGATCGAATGGGTAGAGGGCCAGCTGCTGCGTGAGCAGCGGAGGGCTCGAGCCCACCGAGAGGCCACTTGTCGAGAACCCTGGTGATCCACTTCTGAAAGTGCCCGCTTGACCAGGCAGCGGAGCACGGAAGTGCCCTGACACTCGTGTCGCCATAACTTAAGCGTTGGCTCAGAGGTACCCGGGAACGTCGGTTCAAAGCTCCTACTTAACAAACACCATTTACATTTGGTCCTCCTGTTATTTTTTTTTCTTCTTCTTCCCACCAGATATATTTTAATTTATCTATTTAATCGACTTGTCTTCCAGCAGGAATGTGGAAAATACAGAACACAGAAGGGTACATTTGAAAAAGTTGGGACATGAAAACTTCACCCTCGGTCCTGCTAAAAGTCAGTCCCTGAAAATCTTGAGTTTAGTGAAGCAATACAAAAATGGTGAATGTTCATGAGCTTCCTTTTAAGAATGAGTATAAAGAAATGGAATATTTTGAAGTTCCTCTCCTATAAATAACGTTAAGCGTATCTTGAATAATTTTCCCTTATTTTCCTTGGTGGCCAGTCTGTAGGAATAAGACAGGCGCTGATTATCTGTTACGTTTCTGTTGTGTGGCGTCCAGTCAGAACCCACTCGTAAATGACCCTCCGGTGGGTTTTTAAGAGACTCTAACTCACACAGGACGAGACTGCCCTTCTCTTTTTCCCAAGGAGCACCAAGTGGATTCGAACCACCTGCCTCTGCATTGGCGGCTCGACTCTTTATCCCCTAAGCCCCCCAGAGCATCCTCTGATCTTCCTAGGACTGCCTTAAAATAACACAAACCGCAGAAAATTCTCCATTCAGGGAGCGAGAAGTCCAAAATGAAGATTATCAGCAGGGTTGATTCTCTGGAGGGTTCTAAGAGCTGTATAAATCGTGCCTCCCCAGCTCCTGGTGATGGCCAGTCATCTGTGGTTTGCACATGCGCGATTCCATTCTGGGCCTCCCATCCTCATCTGGCAACCACGTGTGTGTGTGTGTCTGTCTGTCTTTTCTTAAAAAGACACCCGCCAAAGAGACAAGGGTCCACCCTTACCATCTGACTAATAACATTAGCCATGATTTCTAACGTGGTCACTTTGGCCATGACACGCTTTCTTAACGTGGTCACTTTCACGGGGCCAGAAGCTAAGTCAGTTAAGACTCGTACGTCGTACATACCTTAGTGAGGTGACAAGTCCACATACAGCAGAATCCCCATCAAAACAAAAATTCTTTTGATTCCACACATCAAGGGGTGTGAAAATGTTTCTTCAAAGTGAGATCAGGAAGGTCGTCTGGCTTCACTTTCAGTGGTACCTAAGGAAAGGGCTGCTGGGAGCCTCTCTTCATGGGGATTAACCTTCCTGATGGTGACAGAAGAGAAACTACTTGGGTTTTTTGTTTTGTTTTGTTTTGATTTGTTTTATTGCGCTTGCCCAGATGTGGACCAGGAGGGGATCTGAACCCTGCCCTGTCCTGTGACTCTTAGTAATGACTGTTGTCATTATTCAGATGGTTTTGGTTTTTTATTTAAAAAAAAAAAAGTCCTTTTTCTTAAGTTCTTCTAGAACCTCCAGAGCCCTTGGTTGGGGAATAAACCCACAATTTCCTTATGACACTTGGTAGCTTGACACGTGACCTTCCTGCCGCACACACGGGCCCCTCTGTGAGTGCAAGTCCCTATAAAATGGTTTTCAAGAAATTGCCTAAAATAGCTTTTCTAGTTTCATGAGAATTAACCTCTAGAGAAGTGTGTTCCTAAGTTATGTTACATGAGTCAGTAATTTTGCTAGAACAGCCATTCCCTCCACTCCCCAAAAGGCTCTGAATATAGCCCATTGAGGAGATTATCGTGTCAAGAAATCGGAGTTACGTTCCAATTCCCTGCCTTCGAGTTGCTTGTATTCGACTGAGATTAAGTCAGCAATAACTGAGTATAATAGATTAAGTACAACAAAAGTGTGTGACACACAGTCTCAGAGTGACAGGCGGTACTGAGTTTGCAGGTTTGCTCAATGTATGCAGCATGTGTGAGCATTTTTATTTGCACAGAACCCCGAGATAATGGAAGGATTGGGCCAGGCGAGAAATGTTGGTCCTGGTCAAAGTCTTGGCAGGTGAAGCGTGCCTCCTCTTTGCCGTTCTTGGTATGCAGGCAAGGCCTTGGCATTTTTTTGGAGAAGCTGCAGTCAGGGACTTGGCCACGCATCTCCAGAGCACCTGCAAGCAGGACCTCTTTTTTGGCCTCAGTAAAGACATCCTAGGTAAGGCCTGATGTCAGTCCCCTGCTCTGCATCAGAAGAGCTGAACACGAATGACAGGAGAAGAGTTGGTGCCTTTGAGCTGTGGTGTTGGAGAAGAGCACTGAACATCCCAAGAGAACAAACATATGTTCTGGGAAAGTGCAAAGATGGCCAAGCTGCGTCTTTGATACTCTGGACACGTAGCGAGGCGAAACTGTTCCTTGGAAAGGGACCTCATGCTTGGAGGGGCAGCGCAGGAGAGGAAGACCCCCACGGCGATGGACGGACAGGGTGACTTCACCAGTGGGCTGGACGGCACAGGATAGGGCAGGGACTCAGGTTCACTGTTTATGGGGTCGCTGGGCATTGTACTCAAAGGTATCTAACAACAACAACAAACAGAGGCCTAGCTTGTTCGCTTGCGCTGTCTCAGCCGGTAAACAAAGGTTTTCACTCTGCCTTGCATTCTGGTTCATTATCCTATGGACCCCCTCCATGCCTGATTCCTCTGTTGAGGACAGAGGTAACTTCCAGTTTGGGCACACACTTAACACTGCTTGAAGGACAGGACTGCATGCAGGTGAAGGGTGCGGCACTGACAGCACTGACCACTGCCGTCTGTGTAAAGCCATTCTGGCAGCTGCCACTTTGTGTTACTTTGTGTCACTGTGTCTATATGCATTGTTGTTTCTTTTTAACAAGAACACAAGTCATCTTAGAAAGTTTAACACAGACGCAAGGAGACCCATTATCATAGCAAACTCAAGATAACCGAGTCCCAGGTAGAGAGAATGGATGGCCAAGTTCATTTACGACAAGGTCTGTGTCTGGGTGGGCTTCAGGGTCAGCCTGGGGATAATGAACTAGTAGGAAGAAAACACCATTTGTGAGAATCTTACAAAGGATGTGACTGATGCCTGTTCTCAGAGGCGTGCGGGCCTGTGGTGACACACACTGCTTTGTGGGGGAGTGATGGTTTATGTCACAGTATTGCTGATCAGCGATGATCTCCGATCCCTTGTCTGCTTTGACGTTATTTCATTCCTTGCGCTTGGGATTCTCTGTGTGTGACTTGCGCCTTGTTTTTGCTGTTTGGGTGAGAGATGAGTGCTCACGCCTGTGTAGCTTGAGCTTACAGGTCCCGGTTCAAATCCTGCCTCTCACATTTTCTTTCTGTATGAATTAGTGCTGGATTAAAGCATACATTGTTGTTGAGTACCAGAGAGTCAGAACTGACCCATACCTGACCCTCTGGCGGTTTTCAGAGGCAGTTAATCACATGGGAGGAGACTGCCCATCCTTCTCCTATGAAGCAGCTGGTGGCTTCGAACTTCATGCCTTTGGGGTTGCAGCTCAGCTTCTTGCGAATAGGTGACTGGAGCATTAGTGGGCCCTAGAATTGATGCCTTTGAGCTTTGGCCCTGGAGAAGAGTACTGAATATACAGTGGACTGCTAGGAAAACAAACTAGTCCTGGAGAGGGTAAAACCAGGTTGCTCCTTGGAGGCAAGGATTCTGAAGCTCCGTCTGACATACTTTGGACATGTTGCAAGGAGGGACCAGTCCTTGGGGAGGGACGTCATGCTTGGAAGGGTGGAGGGACGGCGCAGGAGAAGAAGATCCTTTATGAGGTGGTTTGATTCAGTGACTGGGGTAATGAGGGTAGATGTGTCAGAGACAGTAAGGTTGGAGAAGAAGATCCTTTATGAGGTGGTTTGATTCAGTGACTGGGGTAATGAGGGTAGATGTGTCAGAGACAGTAAGGTTGGCACAGGATAGAGCAGGGTTCAGGGCTGTTGTACATAGGGTCACTATGAGTTGCACGTGACTTGTTGGCACATAACAACAACAAATGTAGATAATTTCCAGTGCCCTCTCTTCCGCTTACTCATGCATTCAAAGGAGTGTGATATATGTATACTTGTATATTTGTGTGTGTCTTAGCCATCCATGATGTAATAATGTCTTTTAAAGATGCAACCATGATAACAATTGAATGTCAAAGCGATGTATCTCATTTATTGGAATGACATGAACTGGATTATATATATATAAAAAAAGTAGTGGATGTGGGGTACTGAGAATTTTACTATATATTACATTTTCTACTAACTAAAAGAATATTTTACAGGATTAGATTAACTTATTCCCCATAATAATAGTATATAAATGTTTGCTCCATTGTATCTGCGTGTATAACAGACCTATTTTGAAGATAATGTTGTTTACAGAACTTAGGACAGAATTCTGTACGTAAACGCTAGACTGTTAATAAGTATCTTGATTGACTTCACCGCACTGGTTGACTCCTCCAAGCCCATCACGTCTGCACATCACCTGGAACTGGGGCTCCCATCGGGGTTTTACCCCAGCGTGCCCAAGACCATACTCTGGGTGGTGAGTGGGGGTGTGTTTATCACACAGAGAGCATTACTGGCCCTCCTGGCCAGAGTTACTGGATCAGCAGACTTGCCTATACAAGACAGTTAAAACGGATCAGATTCTGTCTGTCAGTGGGATCCACCCTTGCCTAGAAGTCAGTCCCTCCTGTGGGATCCGGTTGCTTGTGGAGTGAGTGTAGCAAGAGTTACACCTGACAGCCAGCTCCTGCCTCTTGTTCATTGGAAAGAAATCGCTCGCTCCCAAAAGAGCCGCCAAGATTAAGGTGTTTCCATTTCTCAGGAAAGACTGCAGAAGACAGATGTCAACAAGCCTGGACAACCTGGGACGTGGTCCATGTGGTCTCCGTGGATGTCATTCCCGGCTGGAACGTTCTTGTGTATTGGGAGCCAGTCCCAGTGTCATTCTGTGCCCTGCAGGTCCCGTCCACTGCGGCTGTCCCTTGTCCTTGTGTGCTGGGGGTGCTGTGGCCCTGGGAGGGGAGGGGGGCTCCGTGCTGGACAGCAGAGACCCCCTGATCTGTCAGCGCCCTAAGCACATGGCTCACTGGGCCATCCATCCTTGGAATTGGTGTGGGTACGCCAAGCCTGTGTGCGTTCTGTGAATAATATTTGTAATATATCTCAAAGAGCATTCAAGCACGCTAGCCTCTTTCTAGGGCTGAGAACATAATAAAGACTCACCCTCCTTCAGAAGACAGTGAAGGGAGCTGGCTTGTGCAGTGTGTCCAGACGGAGTGAGAAGAGTGTTGGGCACTGTTGGAACTTTGAACCACCTTGTGCCCGTGGCCACTTAACTGAAACCGGCCTGCTGATACAGTAATGGCCAATCGATGACGTCTGCCCACTCAAACTCACTCCCGTCAAGTTGGAACTGACCCAGACCTGACCCGCCAGTGGTTGGCTGTTTTTCCCCCCAGAGGCTGTAAATCACACGGGAGAAGGTTGCCCACCTTTCTCACAAGCAGCGGCTGGTGGATTCGAACTGCCGGAGAGGTGTGGCGTCTGAGTCAGCAGTGGGATTTCCTCTGTGCAGTCCACCAGAACTCCTTTATATGACAGTATGCATTGTTAAAACGGATGGAAAACAAGTGAGCCTCGATGTAGGCCACAATCAAAACTTCTCTTAGAAGTTGAAGGATCCAGGACGGCCTGGGGGTGCCGAATTAAGTGTTACCCATGTAGGCGGCAACCTTACCGAATGGGCTTTGGAATAACCTGGGAAGTGAGAGGAATCTTTAAGGCAGAGAAATCGCCCTGAAGTATTATGTAGCCTACTTGGTAAAGTTGCTTCTGTGGGGTTAAAGGTTTAACAGTTTGGCTTGTTAACTGCCTCTTACTGTTACACACGTGGCTGGAAAAAGGGCTAATTGATTAACTGCCTGGCAGATGGCAGGATCTAGTTGGCCCGCCGTTCAAATGGAAATCCGTAGCTGAGCATAACGAGGCCTGGGTCAGTGTCGGAGACATTAGGAAGAACTCCTTTTTAATTTCATATAGATACAGATGTCCAAGTATAGAAATGCTTACAAAGGTATGTATAGATATGAGTAAGCTCCGACTCATAGGAGTAGAACTACTCCCAGTAGAATTAAACAGGCTGGTGGCTCAGTGATAAGGAGTTGAGCTGCCAACCCAAAGGTTAGTGGTTCAAGTCCACCAGCTGCTGTGAAGGAGAAAAGATGAGCAGTCTCCTCCCCTGCAGTTCACTGCCTCCGAAAACCCTCCAGAGGGTCAACAAGGCATCAACTGAGAACGTGTAAAGAAATGATCCCTCAAGGGCAACCAACAGAGCTACCCTCCCAGATCTCGGTTTCTAACACAGTTCTCCAGGATGCAGAACCAAGGCTCCTCGGGGAGTTGGCCAGATTTAGGACAGAGGGAGTTAATGACCCACTGTGAGCCCGGAGCATCTGAGATTTGATGACGAAAGTTAGTGTAGCGAAAGGAAAGTTTCCAAACAGCTGCAGTCACAGCAATTTTAACATATAGGCAGAGCAAATACACTAATGGTAAATTATAACCCAAAATGTAAAAGCTCTCTTAAGGTCATGGAGAATTTAACAGAATTAATTACGAAGTAGGGGGAAACCTCTGAAGTCACGTTCAAATAAATTACGTAAACCTCCTCCTTTAAAGGAGAGAGAGTGTGACTCCACTTAATAGGTAGGCGTTTCCTTCAAGAGCACAGGATGTGGTGTTAACATTTCTGATACTGCTTATGGTTGTGCTCAGTCCAGTGATACAGCGTGTTCATTGAATGCTTCCTTGATAATGTGGTGAAAATGACACTTGTTTTCTCTTTTCTCCAAACCTGTGCCATCCATCCAAAGGACTGACATCACACAGATTACCAGTAGAGGGACATTATCCTGTACACCTGACCAATGCTCCTGTACACGTGACCAATACTCCTTAAAACTTAAGGTCATTGTTAGGGGTTGAACTCTGTTCCCTAAAAAATAGATGTTGTAAATCCTTACTTCTGTGGCTGTGGATGTAATCCCGTTTGGGGATGGGATGTCTTCATGTTAAGTGAGGGCAGGGTTTGGTAAAAGGTGTATTTCGAGTCTTTAAAAATATGAAAGACATCCAGCCAGGACTCTTGAGCTGAGATGGCGAAGAGATACGAAGGTTACTGGAAATGCGAGTGACAAGGACTCTCTCCAGAGCTGACACAGAGAGAAGGCCCAGGGCTTAACCTCCAGCGCCACCATGCCTCTTTTCCCTAGAGTTGGTACCCTAAATTCAGATCTCGAGCTTCCTAAGCCATGTGTGAAAATAAATTTGTTTGTTAATGCCACCAACTTTGAGTGTTTCTGTTATGAGCAGCAAATGATAACTAAGGTACTCATTAAAATCAGGGAGTGTCATTCTTTAACCTTTCCAGGCCACATACCCAAGATTGAGGGCTGAGAAAGCCTCAAGGAACTGAGCACTCAGGTTGTCAGCTTCCCAGATGCAGGAGGGATTGTTGTATACTGTCAAGTCAGAACGAACTCGTAGCTGACTCTCCAGAGGGTTTTCAGAGGCAGTAAATCACACATCAGATGTCACATCCTTCTCTGCTGAAGTAGCTGGTGGATTTCAGCTACCTTCCTTTGAACTGGCAACATAACTCCTTACCACTAAGCCACCAGAGAGATCTTTTGTAGCTGTTGCTTGCCATCAAGTCAAGCACAACTTACAGTAACTCAATGAACAAAAGACCTAATGCCTTTCCATAACTACAGTCATTTCTCAAAGTTCATAGTTTCCAGAGGCATGTGGTTTAGGAAGTGGATACCACTCCTGCTTCCCAACCTATTTTACAACTGGGAGCTCCACCAAACACTGTCCACACTGGGAAACCATTCTGGCGTTTGATATCCCACTGGTACAAGGGTCAGCATCACAGCAAACCCAGGTTACATCATAGAGCACATTGACAAAGAGTGATGTTCAGTGGAAGAGTGTTCCTCCAGATAGAACAGCATTAGTCTCATCTAGCAATGGTTAAGTGTCAAGTCAGATACGACTTAGAGGAAGCTTTGCACAAAAGACCTGAACTCTGTTCTAGAACTAACATCATTTCTGAATAGAACTCTGTTGTATAACATCATAACCAGAGCTCCCTAGGAGGGATTATTGTTGGACTGTGTAGTTGGAACCGACCTACGGCTGGCATGCCAGCAGGTTTTCAGAGGCAGTAAATCTTAGGGGAGATGTCCCATCTTCAACAGAACAGCTGGTAGACCCTAATTGTGTGCTAGTGGGTTCCTTAGGCCACCAGAGCTCCCTCTAGAAGGGACAGAAATGGAAATGATACTGTCAGGGTCTTTGAAACTACATGTTCATAAGGGCACAGTTTTGCATTTTACATTTAGTTTTGCGTTTTAGTTTTACATTTTCGTTTGCACCTCTTTCAGTGTTCTTCATTTAAAGGCCTTAAATAGATTTTAATTGCAGGAGTTATTCCTAGTTCCAGTCACTTCTGCACATCAGCTCCCCTACTCTAAGGCGGAGTGTTTGACCAACTTACGTTACCTTACCAAAAAAAACCCAGCAAACCAGCATTCAATTTAATGACCTTCAGATTAAGGAACATACGCCCTGGACCGCCAAGAGAACAAACAGGTCTGGACTAGAGAGGGTGAAACCAAGTTTCTCCTTGGAGGCTAGGATTTTAGGTTGGTTGGGGTTTTTTTTTTAAATACTAGTTTATTTACAGAATTATAATACATTGACTTCAAGAACTGGTTCTTCCTATTTCCCTCACCCCTACCCCCACTCATCAAATTGTATTTTGAAGCTCCATCTCACATACTTAGGGCAGTTGGCCAGGAGGAGAGACCAGTCCTTGGAGAAGGACATCAGTGCTCAGAAGGGTGGAAGGACAGCGAAGGAGAGGAAGACCTAGATGAGATGGATTGATTGGGGCAATTGGGGGGGGGGAGGTACCTGTGTAAGATAGTGAGACTGGCTCAGGATAGGGCAGGGGTCAGAGTTATTGTGCATAGGGACTCTATGAGTCGCAGGCAACTCAATGGCACATAACAATGTTAAGGAAAACATCACAACTACCAATGTATGTGGTTCTCAAAGCTCTTCAAACTTAGGGGATATAATAAATGTGCAAACGTGTTTCCAAATGCAACAAAAAAGAGGTTCTGTGGGAGGGACCTTCCACTCCCACGCACAACACGCCCATTCCCCCAATCCCACGCACTGGCCACCTTGTCCCTGCACTCTGACCACGCCCACTCGCGCCCGACCACGCCCATTCACCGTAGGACAGCCCTGCCCCGCCCGTTCTTTGGCCACGCCCACCCGAGCTCTGGTCCCGCCTGCTCGTGCGCCAGGCCACGCGCGCGCGCGCGCGCACACACACACACACCCCTCCCGTGACTTGGTCACGCCCATTTTCACGCCCTGGTCCCGCCTACTCCGCTCCTCTCGGACCAATTCTCTCCTCACGCCCCCTCACTGACGCCCCGGCCACGCCCACTAACTGTATGCACGCTCTGTCCCGCCCCCGTGCTTTGGCCACGCCCATTCAGTAGTTCTGGTCACGCCCACTCGCGCATCCTGGCCACGCCTACCCACTGTACACCCGCCTCCCGGGCTTTGGTCACGCCCATTCTCACGCCCTGGTCCCGCCTACTTCGCTCCTCTCCGACCCATTCTTCCTGGTCACGCCCCCTCCATGGCTCCGCCCACTCTCGCGCCTCTGTTTATACTCCCGCGCAGGGCGGACAGACAGAACTCATCTTTGGGACCTACCTCCTCCCGGGAGTTCCCAGCCCCGCACATATTACCCCTACCTGCTTTTTGTCCACCTGCTCCGCCCCTCTCATCTCGGCGCTCCGGCCACGCTCACCCCTGGCCTCCTCCCATCCTCGCGGCACCTAGGCCGCGCGCCTGCGCAGTTTAGGGCAGACGCGGAAGCGGATTGCGTGTGTTCCAGTCTCTGGGTGGTAAGTGCATTTTCTGCTTGCTTCTCGCCATCCTCCTCCTGCGTCATCAGAGAGCTTTCTGGACGTTAAAGCCCTCGCACACCTGCCCTTCCCCTCCATTCCCTGCTCCCCGCGCAGCCCTGAGGCCTCCTGATGCTTGGCTGCCACTCCACTGGGTCTGGCCTTTCTTCCCTGGGCCCCTGTCGCCAGTGCATCCTTCTTTTCCAGCTGCAAACCCTCCCCTGACCACCTTCCCTGGCAAATCTGCCTCCAGAGACTGGGAATACTCCACATCCCCCGTCCCTATTGTCGTCCCTGAAGGACAGCATGGGGGCCCGTCCTCTCCCTGCTGTCAGACTCTGAGACACCCCTCCCACCTTCCTGAGACCCTCTCCTCTCCCTGATCCCGGACTCTGAGACCCCCACTTTCCTGAGACCCCATCCTCTCCCTGATCTGAGACTCGAAGACCCCTACCTTCCTGAAACCCCCTCCTTCCTGAGAGCCCGTCTTCTCCCTGATTCTGAACTCTGATGAGACTCCCACCTTCCTGAGACCCCTCCTTCCTGAGACCCCATCCTCTCCCTGATCCCGGACTCCGAGATACCCCCACCTTCCTGAGCTTCCCTCCTCTCCCAGCTTTTGGATTCTGAGATACCCCCTCCTTCCTGGGACCCCATTCTCTCCCTGACCCCAGACTCTGAGACTTGCTCCCTGATACTGAGACCCCCACCCCTCTCCTGAGACTTCATCTTCTTCCAAGTCCAGGAGCCCTCAGACCCCCACCCTTCCTCTCTTCCCAAACCCCTTCCAGCTCCTTGCTCCCCACGTTTCACGTTCCCCTTGAAGTCCCCAAATCATCTTATGGGGAGAGGGGATCCTGTGACAGTTAATTTACCTCCTGGTAAATATGCTTTTCCTGGGCAGCAACCACATCTCATCCCAGCATCTCCATAGATGTGTGCGGAAGGAGGGGGCTGGAATGGAATGCAGCAGGAACATTGATGCATCTGTTACAAATTAGAAAACAAACATGATAGAGAGACTGTATACAGGCGGAAGAATGGAGACGGAGGCTGAACTTGTCAACAAGCCGTAAATAGCTGTTAGGTGCTAGGTGCTTTCGAGTCAACCCTGATTCATAGCGAGCCTGTAAACACAGATATGAATCTCGCCCTGTCCACTATGCTCACAATCTCTGTCCTGCTCAAGGCCATTGCTGTGGTCACTGAGTCCGTCTTGTTGAGGGCCTCCCTCTCCTTCACTGATCCCTCTGCCTCTCCCAGCATGATGTCTGTCTCCAAGGACTGGCCCCTTCTGACAGTACACCCAAAGGAAACGAGAGGAAGTTTCAGCATCTCTGCCTCGAAGAAACCCTCTCGTTGGTTACACTTCCTTCAGCGCCGTGAAAGGACTCATCATTCATTGCCACTGCATTGCAAGCAATTCATAGCTGACCCTCCAGCAGAATTTTGGAGGCTCTGACTGGCACAGGAGCAGAATGCCCCTCCTTCTCCAGCGGAGCATCTGGTGGATTCAAACCATGTGCCTTTGGGATTACAGCGCTGCTTCCTGTCACTAGGCCACCAGGGGTCGCTGGACCATAGCTTCTTGATGTTGAGACAGAAAAGAGTCCTGAGTAGATCAGAGGGAAGAATGAAGGAAGGAGCTGAGGGTTGCCAGATTGTGAGGGAAGGCAGAAAAAGAGAGAGGGAGACGGAGAGGGAGGGAGGGAAGGAGGAAAGAAAGGAGGGAGGGGCAGTGCAGATTGTGGAGATGGGGGAACAAGCAAAGAGCGAGGGGGAGCAGGGCAGGAGTAGGTCTGAACAGAGCTAGAGAGACAGAAAGACAAAGGGGTGAAGGGGCAGCAAATGAGAAGCAGAAATGGAGGAGGAAAGAAATGGTACTAAATCAGAGCCAACAAAGAGTTGAAACACAGTGAGAGGAAATCTCTTGGTCCTAGAGAAGGGGAGGCGTCCAGGTCTGGAGGAGCAGACGCTGAATGGCGAGGGGATGGTCAGGTTGTGAAGCATTTGTGCCTTTTTTTAATCTTTTATCTGAAGTTTGTGGAAACTTTGCAGAACAGACTGAGCCGTGCAAAGCTTTGCACGTGCTAGTTCTTGGTGTTGGAATGAGTGGCTGTTCTGCCCGAGGGCAGTGACATGTCATCGTCCAGCTTGGGCCACCCTCTGCCCTTTTCCTCAGATGGACAGGTTTTGCTTCTGTCAGATGCGCACAGTCACCTGTGACTGTGGCCCGTGAACAGCGGATGGAAGTCAAGCCCTGTCCCGTCCCAGCCTTACAATCCCTGCCATGCTCAGGGCTATAGTCGTATATCAGGCCGTGTCGTGGATGGTCTTCTCCTCTCCTGCCCTTTTGCTTTTCCAAGCCTGATGTCTTTTTTCAAAGACTAACTTCTCCCGCCAGCAGGCCCCAGGTATATGAGATGAAGGTGACTGGATACAGAGAGGGGTGAGATGATGCGAAGATCTGAGCCTTCAGAACCTTCCAGACCGGTGATTCTCCATCCTGTGGAGTCAGAAAGAGTCAACAGGCTCAGCGTGTTTTTAAAAGAAATCCATCAATGAGAAAATAAAAGATAGATTGCTATGGTTGTGGGAACACTGTCTCGGAAATTGTTTCGGGGTAGGAAAGAGAAACATCAGAAGATCTTAGAACTTCCAGAGCCTCTGTCACTGACCTCCAGGCCACACACACACCCCACCCTGGGTTTTGTGCCCTTCTTGGAGCCAAGAAGGAGCTCAGGTGGTGCTGTGGCGAAGGCGTCCGGCTGCTGTCCAAAAAGGTCAGCAGTTCAAACCCATCAGCTGCTCTCCAAGAAAAAGAAGAGAGTCGCCTTGTGGAAAGATGTACAGCCCTGGATACTCAGAATGGACTCTGTGGCAGTGTGTTTGGATTTGGGGCCAGTATCATCGTGATGGCCTTCACATCAGCTGGCCTCTCAGCCTGAATATCTCAAACTCAGCAACTCAAACTGTTGCCATTAAGTGAGAGCTGAGGAACAGCTGACGCTCCATTGGCTTCCTAGGCTGTAACTCGCTCCAGAGATTTGCAGAAGAGACTTTCTCCCCTCAGAGCCACTTTGGGTTAAGAGCTCAATTTCCGCAGGACTTAGCCAGCAGAGCGCCCACCCCTTGAATCTCTGTCCTCCCGCATACGCCTGTCAAATACATTTCCTTTGTTCTGATCCTGCACCCCCCCCCCCGCCCCCAGAAGGGCCTTCTCATAGCCCTCATTCCGTGTTCCAGCCACCCCCTCACTCCCACGCCTGGCCCATAATGCCTGCTCTGTTGTCTTCCTGATTTTGCCCCTGGCACTCTCTGCATCCATGAGACACAGTGGCTTCAGGGGAGAGCAGAGCCACAGGCCGTTGTGCACTGGGTGTGCCTCTTCTAGGTGGGATGCGGTCCTGGCTGCCCACCGGATTCCTGGGGCAGTCTGCACGTAAAGCTGACCCTTGAACGTCATGGGTCCTACAACCCAGGAAAAAAATAACCCCTACATCATTTACAGTTGAACCTTAAACAAGACAGACCAGGATACTAAACTTTTTTTTTTTTAATTTGTGTGTGTGTGTACCGTCAAATCAGATCTGACTGGTACAGGAGGAGATTGTTCCTCCTTTTCCAGCAAAGCATCTGGTGGATTTGAACCGCACACCTCTGGGATTGCAGTGCAGCGTCTTGCCACTAGGCCACCAGAGCTTGCCGGTACTAAACTTTTGCACAGCAAAACAAAAAAACACACCAAAAAATCCCTGTATAGTTTGCAGTTGACCCTAGAACAAAATGGGTTTGAGCTGCTTGTGTGGTCAAGAGAGTAAATGTTCCTGTGGAAACGATTGTCACAGGAGAAGATTGAGACTCGCTCTAAGGAGATACTCAAAGGTCCACTGTATACTGATTAAGCCTCCTTTCCAGAAACTTCTAGGGATTTTCTTTTGCTCGGCCTTGAGAATGCTGATGTCTCCCCAGGTGGTTTTAATATGCATCCAGCATTGAACACAGGACTTGGGGTCCTGTATCTCTGAGCCCGTGCCAGCCCTTCCAGGGGGAGGTAACCCCAAACTCAGCTGTTGGTCTCCATGAGGGAGGTTGTGCCCATGCCCTTCCTGGGACTGTGGACAATAAGGACTGCCTTTCTCCCCGTGAGGTCCTACCTGTGCGTGTGTGCACACAATTGGAGGGGGGGGGTGTATCAACAGGAAGCATTTACCAGCATGTTTTTAACACCCAGGGTTGACCTCTCAAGGCTGGTGTCACCTGAGCATGAAGTCAGGAGGGAGAAGGAGGAGAGATGGTTCTGGAATGGCCCTGCCCTGGGTAAGTCATGTTCTTGGTCTGTGCCTGTGCACCCCGCATTTCTGAAATACTGTTCTGGGAATGTCTTAGTCTCCTCTGACTCGGATGTGTCCACTCTGGTGTGTTTGCTTACACTCCTCCAGGCCTTTCCTCAGTTCATGCAGATTCCACCTCACTGCGACCCAGCCTGCATTTACATAGAGCCAGAGGGCAGGGCGTCCACCGTTGAGCTTCCCAGAATCCCCTTAGCTGATTTTTCTTCCTGAAACAGCCTGTGGAGTATATATAATTTGCTCGTCCTTGTCAAGTCTGGTTCTGTCAGAACGCTCGCATCAAACTAAGTGCCCCTTGTGCCTTTCTCTTCATTGTGGCATGAAAACCAGAACCCTTCCTCTTGTGCTCACTGAGGTGGGTTTTCCATTTTCAGGACCTGTTGACCTTCAGGGACGTGGTCGTCGAGTTCTCTGCGGAGGAATGGGACTGTCTGAGCTCTGCCCAGCGGGCTCTGTACAGGGAGGTGATGTTGGAGAACTACCGGAACTTTGTATCCCTTGGTGAGCGTGACGTCCCCCTGCAAGCTGGGACCTGCCCTGGTGTGTTTTCAGGAGCCCATGCCCTGCTTTGATGACCATGACATCCTGGCTCTTTTTGAGGGAGATGCAACTTGGATTCGAAATGACAAGCTTCATGCTTCAGCTTGTGGTGTCCCGTCTTCTCTTTTCTAGACCCTTCTGCCCAGTGCAGCACTGGTCCCGTGTGTGTGGAACATAAAACAAGCTGGGCAGATTTGAGTATCTCAGCCTCTCATGTCACGCCTCCACTTTTGATTTGGTGGCTGCTGATATGAGCTCAGCAAACTCAACCCATTGCCTTTGAGTTGGAACCAACTCCTAGCTGACCACCAGCTGGCGTCCCGTGGGAGGAGATTGCCGATATTGTCTGGGTTTTTTTTTTTTTATTTATTTTGTGTGTGTGCCATCAAATCAGATCTGACTGGTACAGGAGGAGATTGGTCCTCCTTCTCCAGCAGAGCATCTGGTGGATTTGAACCATGTTCCTCTGGGATTGCAGTGCAGCTTCTTGCCACTAGGCCACCAGAGCTCCCTTGTCTGTTGTTTTTTTTTAATAGCACAAATGCTTTCTTTACAATACAGGCTTAAAAAAATACGGGCTTCAGTGAAAGTGGACTGAGGCTCAATTGGCATCAGCGCTCAACTGTCTATTTTTCTTAGAACCATTGGTAGAACGGAGCCACCAAAGGCTATGCCCTTGTATTAGCAACAGATCTCCCTGCAGGCACCACCAGAGCCCTTCCTGGGGCGAGCTCGGTGGCCCCATATTTAGACACTCCCTAAGCAGACTGAAAGCCAACCAGTGCATGACATGAAAATGGTTATTCCCCTCTAAACATCTGCAGTATTCTAAGGCTGTATGTTGGTTTATTGTAAACTCTTTAGCACTTCATTTTCCTTTCTTTCTTAAAAGCACGAATCTCTTCTTCTGAGATGAACATTATCTCCACTGGGAGGAAGGGGACCGAGGTCTTGACGGTGGAGAACAGGAAGAAAAGAGCCAGAAATCCAGGTAGGTTGGTCATTGGTCAGGGACGGCTCTGATGGGATCCTGCTGACGATGCTGTTTCTGCAGACATTCTGGAGAAATTGAGATCACCCTCGGGTTACCCCAGAATGTGGTGTGAAGCTGGCCTTCCTTGTTTGGTTCTGACCCGACCTGCTTGTGTGTGTGTCCCACAAGGCTGGATCAGGGGATACCATCAAGAGTCTACTCGCTTCCCTTCACGTCAGACCAGATGGCTCCAGGCATTGGAGAGGCCCTGAGCTATGCAGACGTCTTGAGGCTAGTAAAAAGCATGAACTTCTCAGTGGTGTTTGACACGGCACCCACAGGCCTCACACTGAGGCTCCTCAACTTCCCCGCCATCGTCGAGAGGGGCTGGGGCCACTTCGTGTCGATAAGAGCCAGCTCAGCCCCTCGTTCATCTCACACATGTGCAGCATGTGGGGCCTGGGCGACATGAACACAGACCAGCTGGCTTCCAAGCTGGAGGGGACGCTGTGTATCATCCGATCTGATGCATTAGCAAGCAGGTCAAGGACCCGGACCAGACCAGCTGCATGCGCCTCAGAGTTCCTCTTCCTGCACGAGACAGAGTGGCTGCTTCAGGAACTGGCATGGTGCAAGATTGACTCGCACGACATCATTGTTGACCAGCTCGTCTTTCCTGGCCCCAGAAGCCCTGCAAGATGTGTGAGACCCGCCACAAGATCCAGGCCACGTACTGGACCGGATGGAGGACCTCTGTGAAGACTTCCACATCGTGAAACGGCCACCGTCGCCCTCCGAGGTGCGATGGACAGACATGGTCAACACTTCCTCTGTCCTCCTTCTAGAGCCGTGCAAGGCTCTAGCACCCAGGAACAGCGCTGCCTGCCCCAGCTGCTGACATTTCATGCCCACCCCCCAGCCCCACCCCAGAGCAGAGTTTGCACACGGTCTCCCCACCCACACCATGGTCTAGGGGGCTGTGGGGCTACAACGGTCCCCTCACCTCTCCCCACATCTTGCCCCTCTAGAAAATGTTCTGGGGGGGGGGGGAAGAAGAAAGAAAAGAATTACTCAAATGCGTTGGTGGCATAGTTCCTGAAAATTTCATCTGCTCTGCACTGTAGTCTGTGACCTGCAAAGGAGCATTATGAGTCAGTGTGAAGTGTTACTAATAAATGCAATATAGAAACACGACACAAGAAAGCCTGGACATGGAGACCAACCACCACAAACCCACAGCGTGAAGTCAGCCTGGCAGCGCGCCTGAAGGCTGATTGACAGACTTTGTTTATTGACCAACAAATTATTTCTTATGTAAAAGCAAATTTCTTTGCACTGCACGACAAAAAACAATGTTTTGCTTCACAATTCTGAATTGCCATTTCTTTTTCCACTTCGTTAATGCTTTCCCTGAGCGTCATTTACCATCGTATAAGTCTGCTTTGCCATTCTTTCTGTACAGTAATTATCCACATGCATTAGTATAGTATTTTCTGCAAATATGAAGCATCCACAGAACTTAGTGAATTAGCATAGTCCATCAGGAATCATGCTGCTAGCCCCGAGGCGGGCTTCTCTGCTGGTTGGACTCCACCAGCTGCTTTGCGAGAGAAAAAGGGGCCATCTCCTCACACGCAATTTATGGCCTCCCAGGCCCACTGGAGGGGCAGCCACGGGTCACTTCTGACTCCACAGCAATGAAGTTGTTTAAGGATAGCCTTAGAACAGTACTCATTCATTTAGGACTTAATGTGGCTTTTGTGTAAGTAATTTGGTCATAGGATGTATGAAACCTGGCTTCCCTGAAAATGAAATAATAATATTTATCTTCTGCCTTATTAACATTGGAAGCAGGGGTGGCATCCACATCCGTAATAGCTTGCCTCCAGAAACCCTATGAACCTGGAGAAAGGATGAAAGTCACACACAAGTGTTGAGGACTTTCGTTCACAGGGTCACTATGAGTCGCCTATGACTCAACGACACTTAACAACAACAACAAAAACTTATTAAGAAGGCTTTTAACTTTGTGTTACTAAATCTTCAAAGACAATGATTGAGAAGTTTGATGACTCTGCTCATTGTAATACTGCTTTTGGTACAATATTGTTTTTCACCATAAACATCTTATCTGTAGGACAGCAATCTGGAACGAGGGGTGCATTGCAGTGTGTTCTCGGGGAGGGGAAGAAGGGAGAAGAAAATACGTAACAAAGAAAAAAGTAATAAAGATTTTGAAAATAAATCTTTTATAATTTCATAGCCGTGGTTAATGGACATCTTTGGTTCTTTATGTCTCCTAGCTGTCTCTCCCACATGTGTCAAGAAAGCATTTCCCCCGGAGACCGTTGGAAAAGGAGTGCTGTACAAGACAGTGATATTAGAAAGATGGGAAAGTTACAATTTCAAGAATTTTTACTTCTGGCAAATCAGGGAAAACATACTTGCATTTGAGAGTCAATGGGGGAAGGACAGAAGTTACAAAGGAATTCCCGTACCTCACAGTGGAAGTTTCACCGGTCGCAGAGAACCGCATTTTAGAAGAAATGATGGAAAGGCTTATGTGGCATGCATTGAAAATAAGATTGGCCTTGGCTTTCAGTCACAGCTGACTGAAGTGCAGCGAGTTCAGGCTGGAGAGAAAATGGGCAGAGGCAAGCCAACAGTGAACCCCACCAGTGGGTCTCCAGTGTCACCCCTTCGAAAAAGTCCTCGGGCCAACATCTGTAATACGTTTGGGAAGACTTGTCCGCGTCCTTCTTTGATGACTTCACACAAGAAGACACAGATCACAGAAACTCTTCTCCACAGTGATGCCTCCGGGGAGAATCTTAACCAAAGCCCAGCACCTGCTAATCTTCTGAAAACCAGTTCTTTGCAGAAACGTTACAAAGGCGATGAGTGTGATGCAGCCTTGAAAGGTAGCTCAGACATCACAAATACTGAGCAGAGACCATATAAGTGTAAGGTATGTGACAAGGCCTTTCATCAGCGCTCAAATCTCTGGAACCACTTGAGGATCCACACCGGGGAGAAACCTCACAAATGCGGCGAGTGTGGCAAGGCCTTCCGCTGGCGCTCAGTCCTCACCAAGCACCAGCGCATCCACACAGGCGAGAAGCCCTATGAGTGTCGCGTGTGCAGCAAGGCCTTCATCCACAAGTCCAACCTCCTGGAGCACCAGCGGATCCACACTGGCGAGAAGCCATACAAATGCAGCGAGTGTGGCAAGGCCTTCGTCAATAACTCGAGCCTGGTGGAGCACCTGAGAATCCACACTGGGGAGAAGCCCTACAAGTGTGGCGAGTGTGGCCGGGCCTTCAAATGCAGCTCCAACCTCACCAGCCACCAGAGGACCCACAAGGGAGAGAAGCTGTTTAAGTGTAACATCTGTGAGAAGGTCTTCAGTAAAAACTCGAGCCTGATCACTCACCTGACGACTCACTCAGGAGAGAAATCATACAGGTGCGATGCCTGCGACAAGGCTTTCCTGCACCATTCCAGCCTCATGGAGCATCAGAGGATCCACACCGGGGAGAGACCTTACAAATGCAGCGAGTGCGACAAGACGTTTAGGTGGCGCTCGGTGCTCACGAAGCATCTCCGGATCCACACAGGGGAGAAGCCACACGCGTGTGGCGTGTGTGGGAAAGCGTTCATCCAGAAAGCAAACCTTGTGAAACATCACCGGATCCACACTGGCGAGAAGCCGTACAAATGTAATGAGTGCGGCAAGGCCTTCATCAATAACTCCAACCTCGCCGAACATCAGCGCATCCACACTGGGGAGAAACCTTACAAATGCGGCGAGTGTGACAAAGCCTTCAAGTGCAGCTCCAACCTCACCAGCCATCAGAGGATCCACAACGGGGACAAGCCATTCAAGTGTAGCGTGTGTGACAAGGTCTTCAACCACAGGTCCAGCCTTTCAACCCATCAGAAAATTCATACCAGAGAGAAGCCTTACAAGTGTAATGAATGCGGCCTAACTTTTGTCCAAAATGCCACGTTGGTGGAGCATCAGAGGATCCATCGTAACAGAGCAAAACTTTACACGTAATGAATGTGGTGAGAAGTTAGCCAAATATTTGTATCCGTCAGCTCACAAATGAGTACATATTAGAGAGAAAATGCCGAAATGTAGAGAGTGTTGGAAAGCCTTAAAGGGGGCGAGTACTTCCTTGAGTGTTAGAGAATCTATCACAGAAATTACCTAAATGTTAGGTATATGGCGGAGACTCAAGGTAGTGCAAATGGTGATCTATCTGCCCAACTCCTAACCAAAGGTCAGGAAGTTCAAGTCCACTCAGAGCAACTCAAATGAGCGGCCTGATGATTTTCTTCAGAAACCTCAATGATTGGCATCATTACAGAACACAGTTGTACCCGGGCACGTAAAGAGATGGCCTTGAGTCAACTCAAAGACAGCTGGTAGGGTATACTCAGAGTCTTTATGCAAAGGTCAAGCGTAAACCTTTACATTTAAAATTGTTGACTTGTTATTTTCATTTTTCTCTTTCAACCACTTCAGGCCAGTGTGTGTGTTTCATTTCTGTACTGTGTTGCTGCAGCAGGAACACCAAATACGTAGATCAGGGAGTTTTTTGAGAACTGGCAACGTGAAATTTCACACCAAAAAGTAGTGACAATGTATATGCTCTAAAAAGAATGCTTTTATGTCTTGAGTGCAGGCAAATCACATGAAAAGTTAAATTTTTATGAGTTCCTACACAAGAACACACATACACTCTGAAGAACTTTATAGATACTCCTCTCAGCTCGTGTGTTGATTTTCACCAGCGACCAGTCAACAGGAATATGAAGAAATCATTTGTTTTCCCAGGGCTGCTTTAGTGAAAAAGAAGTCTCTTGGCACAGTGGTTTGGTTAAGTGTTGGATTCCTACCCAAAAGAGTAATGAATGATTGAGACATACCAAATGCTCTATGGGAGAAAGATAGGACAATTTGCTCCCATGGAGACCTACAGCCTTGGAGACCTATGGGGCTCTGTCCTATCCAATCACTGTGAGTCAGAATCAACCCAACAGAAGGGGATTTTGTCAAGAATGGGCTATAATAAAGTACCGCAGACTGAGGGGCTGAAAAACTATGGACATTTACTCTCAGTTCTCAAAGCTGAAAGTCCAGATTCAGGGGATCAGTGTGGTTGGGTCCTGTTGGAATTTCTAAAGGACAGTCTGTTCTGTGCCTGTCCTGGATGGATTCCAGTGATGGCCAGTAATCTTTGACACCCTTTAGCTTGTACATACGGCATTGCAACCTTCACCTCCCTCTTTATGTGGTGTTCTCAAGCTGTGTCTCTGTGTGTCTTTTATAAGGACACCAGCCCTTATAAGGGCCTGCTTTTATGATCTTAAATAGTTACAGATTCTCACCGCTGGACTGATAGGCAACATCATGATAGGGGGAGAAAAAGATTGTGAACAACTCCATCTTACTTGGATCCACAGTCGGTACAGTTGGTACCAGAAGTGAGGAAATCTGGAGATACATTGCACTGGGGAAAGTCTTCTGTCAAGAGACCTCTCCAAATTATTGAGGAGCAGTGCTGTTGGTGTGGGGACTGAAGTGCACCTGATTCAAGCCATGGTCTTTTCAGTCACTTGCTAGGTATCTGAGAGTTGGACAGTGAATAAGGACGGCAGAAGAAGAATTGATGTCTTTGAGCTGTGGTGTTGGAGAAGAGTACTGAGCATCCCATGGATGGCCGTGAGAATAAATAAATATGTCTTGGAGAAAGCGCTGTAAAGATTCATCTCACATCTAGGCATGTTGCTAGGAGTGGGTGTGTCTTTCTCTGATAGCAACATCATACTTGGGAAGATAGAGGGGTGGTGAAAGAGAAAGACCTTCAACCGGGTGGGTTGACATAGTGACTACAACAGAGGGCTTGAGGGTGGCACAGGATAGGACAAAGTTCAGTGCTGTTCATAGGTCCTACATAACAGCACCTAACAACAGTAACCTTCTTTTCAAAAGTAGTCTTATCCACAGCTACTAGCAGCGAATGAGCATATCTTCTTGCATCACAACTTAGCACGCAGCAGAGTCCTCAGGGTTCAGTTTGGATACCAAGACTGATGATGCCTCACGTCCCTGAGCTGTGAGAATGCTTATTTTTAAAAATCTGCCTTGGAAGAAGAACTGGGCTGCTCCTTAGAGGCAAGGATGGTGAAAATTTCGCTCATGGACTTCGGGCGTGTTGTCAGGAGGGCCTAGTCCTTGGAAGAAGACATCATGCTGGCAAAGGTAGAGGATCAGAGAAACAGAGGAGGAGCCTCAACAATATGGCTTGACACGGTGACCCTAACAGTGCACTTGACCATGGCAGAGATCATGAGGATACACAGAAGAGGACAAAGTTCACTGTGAGTCGTAGTTGGCTCCACGCCACCTAACAGCAGTAACTTTCCCTAGTACAAGCAGGGGAGGTGACTTGCTTAAGAGGAGTGGTTAAGGGATTCCCCTAAAGTAAGTGTACATATATGTGGTTTCAACTTGGTGCTGGCAAGAAAGAAGACAGCAGCTGGACCTTTTCATCCACTTGTCCAGGTGTGGAGTAGGAGGGAACGAGGAAGGAGTGAATTTCAAACATTGTCAGTAGTCAGGCATCTAAAACTAGAGTGACTGTCTTTAACACAGCTCTGTGGGAAGCCAAATATCAAAATAAATATTAATAATTAACCAAATGCTAGGGGAGCTCTGGTGGCCTAGTGGCAAGAAGCTGTACTGCAATCCCAGAGGTACACGGTTCAAATCCACCAGATGCTCTGCCGGAGAAGGAGGGACAATTTCCTCCTGTACCAGTCAGATCTGATTTGACGGTACATGCACAAAAGATAATAATAAAAAAAATTTTTTTAAATAACCAAATGCTGTATTAGAATATAAGGGAGGCCTAAATACAAGCTGGAATTCCCCATGATACGGGTCACATGGGTCAAGCACCAAGGCAGACATAAGGCATCTTCACAATTCTTGGATTGTATTTTTTTTTAGTTCACTTTAATGAATGTTTACAGAGATTTTGGATTTCCATTCATTCATTGTTGCATTTTTCTCCCTGCCACCCCCCACCCCTCCAGTTTGCTCTTCTCTTTGAAAATCAGTAAAAGAAAAATTATTTCTTTGGTATACAATCCCCTCACCACCCACTACACTCCACTATGTAACCTTCATTCTGGAGTCTTGTGATAACCATAAATACTCTTATCATATATCGCTTTTAAACTGTTCTCTCCCTCATCTGTTTCAATGCAGTAGACATAGTTTATTCTTGGATTGTATTTACTAACCCCTCTCTCCTGAGATAAGCATAAGGTTGACAAAAGAGGAAAAATTCAGCTTCATTTGCAAAAGAGTTTATGATTTACTTCTCAGTGATTCTCAACAGAAAGACATGGCTTGAGGGCTTCAGTTTTCTGAGCTATTTGCCCCCTGCTTCAGGCTTTCTGTCTTTTCCTCCATTCCTGTGTGGCCTCGTCATTTTCCTCGGCCAACAACACAGTTCCGATGGTTTAGTTAGAAGCTTCTCACTCCTTCTTCAGGAAAGAGTGCAATTACCACTTCAGTAGCGTTGTCCATACCAGTTCTGTATGGGGCGTTCTGTGGCCCACCTTGTCGATAGGGATTTCGATTGCTAGCCCAAAGGCAACTCCTCTCTGGTGGTCGAATCCACCAGCAGCAACTTGGATGGCAGATGGGCACTGCACTCCCTGACACAACCTTGGAAATCAAGTCGCGGGTCAGCCAGTAGTCAGTTGACATGATGGCAGTGAGTGTGAGTTCTTGTGGTTTTGCTGCCGTGTGCAGACCCTTCACACACTACGGTTGTTGGAAGAGTTTGTGAAATTTCTGTTTCGGTCAATTGCCTTAGAAACTTTTATCATTTCATGGAAATGAACTTGTGTGGAAGTGTTTGCTAAGCTTTACAAGGGAATGAATCATTTTCCTCGGCAGCTTTTCAAAGGGAATGCAAATGTCCGTTTGAGGTGACTAAGGAGTATGTTACAAATTGGTTTTTCACTTCCCTGCCTTCCAGTGACTTCCATGCTGGGTAAGTCACCAATAACAGGGACGGTGAAGGTGCACACTTTAGGGAGTGACAGGTTGTGCTTAAAACTTGGGTGTGAACAGAATTCTAGAAAACAAGTGGACCAGTCCAGCAGCTACAGGGCAGGAAAGGAAAGAAGTCTTGCTTCAAGCGATGCGTGGCTGTGTCTCACCATCTTGATCAATAGCAGTGTGGTGGTGGTTGCTAGGCGTCGACGTGGTCAAGGGATCTTCCCACCTACCTCCAGACTATGCATGCCTCAGTGCACTTTTCAGAGGCTGCAGTTGAGCCCTGGAGGCCACGTCAGGGACGTCCTGCTCCACTTTCAGTTCACTAGGGAACTCTGGCGATCTAGTGGGTAAGGATCTGTGCTGCCAACCCAAAGGCAGGCAGTTTGAATCCTCCTGCTGCTGCTCAGAGGAAAGATGGGACAGTTTCTGTGATTTGAGTTTCAGCAAAGAAAGCTCCCTAGCCCTCTCTCTACTCCACTGGTCCTCCTGAGAATTTTGTTGTGGTTTTCTGACAGTTTTTTCCGTCTTTGCCACATCACCACAACTTCTTCCAGTCCCGCTCAGGGACGGAAAAATGGAGCACATCATTTCACTTCTTACGGGGCCCCATCACAGTAAGTAATTAAAGGCGTAATTGGTTGTAACTTGCAAGATGGCTAATTATCCTAATTAGCTACCTCAAACCCTGATTGCTCATAAAAAGGCAATTAGGTTGAAGACACGTTAGGAGGTAATTCCCCGGCTGGGAACATCCTTAATAAAGACTGAGGAGTTTACAGGATGTGGGGTGAAGAGTGTGACGTTACATTTCAATTAAAGACATTTAAACATGGAGATTTGTTGTGGTATGTATATGGTGTATGTTTTTGCTTACTGAATTTTTTCTCTCTTTTTTTAAGTTATTATTTCAATGAAAATTTACAGACTTTGGATTTCCATTCATTCATGTTGCACTTTTCTCCCCTCCCAACCCT